CCTCAATTAGACACCGCCTCCGCGGACCATTGGTCCTAACACGATGCACAACAGTAGGACGGAAGGACCAGCAGTCCGCGGCGATGGTGCCGAATTGAGGCGTTCGTTCCTCTACCCGGTTAAATTAACCCTGATGAATCACGTAAGTTTAACCCTCTAGGGTTAGTTTAACCCTCACGGTTCGTTGATGAATACGGGTTAGTCGCTTTCGGGGTAAAATTAACCCTCAAGGTTAAATTTAACCCTCAGGGTTAAGCCTACCCTGTGTTTCATGAATACGGGTTAAACGCTTTCCAGGGTTAGTTTAACCCTCGGGGTTCGTTGATGAATACGGCCACAGGCAAATCGGAGCCTATGAAGATCTCACTTGGAGGGTAATCTTAGCCCTAAACACACTGCCCAAGCGCCAGCTCAAACTGTGAGCTCACAGTTGAGATATTAGCGTCCAAAGTGAACCCCGGGATAGTCGCATGGATTCATGGCGCGACACATCAGTTTCGCGCAAGGACCCACCCTTGTCGGGCCATGAATCCAAGCGATTACGGTCCCGGGGTCCATTTTGGAGGCGAATATCTCAACTTTAAGTTCCCCATTTGAGCTGCCGCATGGGCAGTGTCTTAGTTAGAGCCCCAAAATTGCTTTCCACATCAGAACCCTGTATGTCCAGATTTGCCTGGACGCTGCCTTTAATATCGGTATAATTCAAGGGGCTAGAGGTGAAAGAAAGTGTTTGGGTTGCCCAAAAGTGATAATCTTTTCCAAGTAGATCTAATTGTTTGTTTTCCTGTAGATTTAAGGTACTATTCGATAAAGCAAAGCAAACTTTACGAAAGACCGCCAAAGATTTATCAAGTCGTAATTCAGGTAAGGTTTGGAGCCCAAAAACTGAATTTTTTTTTGATGACACTAAAATTCAAATTTTTTTTCCAGAAAACTCCTATGAACCAACTTGGCCATCACATAGTAAATATTAGTGTTTAATAATATTTTTATCATATTTTTTCCGTTCAAAATGAAGAAACGAAAGTAGCTTTGCGAAAACATCACTTCCTACCGTTCCTCAAATGTATTATCTTTTAACAGAGCATATACAGAAGTATGATTCCAACGTTGTATTTGCTAAGGATTGCAAGTATACAGTCTATGTGAGAGGAGCTGGGGGCGGGGCTTGCCATATTTGGACTATCCTTTCTTTTCTTGGCTTCAAAGGCATTTATAATTAGTACTTGTATCTTATGGATGGAGCAATACAGAGCCTCGTCGAATTTTTTTTCGCAAAATTAATTTTTTGGTGTTAGTTTTTTTCTCGATGGCTGCGAACTCTACTTGGTTTACTTAGGAACTTTCCAATGGTCATTTTCTAGAGCTTGCTTTGCTCCATCGGGCAGTGCCTCCAGTCTGCTCTTGCGACAGTCTCATAGATTATATTGAACTTCAGATTACTGAGCAGATTACCATTTGCTTATTACATCGCTGGATTTGAAACCGAGTTGATCTGGTGGTTGGCAAAACCTCAGAGCCATGACATGCTAATGCGTAAAACCTTTACGGACCCTTTCACTGCCCACTATTATTCTGTCCACTGAAGCGATCATGCGTATTTTGATGTCTGCAATTGTCGGCTTTGCCAGAAAAAAAAGGCCGGATAGCATCAGTTCTGTCAATTCCCATAGCCTTCACTTTTTGCGAAAATTTCATGTGCTTTGGAAGTCTGTCGTGCATAAAATGTGTCGTGAAATAAGCACTAAAAAAGGAGACGTATATCGACACCTACGAAGTGTCTGACTCACTCTTCGTCGATTTTTCCCTTTGGTTATAGGATTTGCTTGGATTATCAGATAATAATGTCCATGATAGCAGAAAAAATTCCGCTTTTGCTCAGTCTATTAGCACAGCTGTCGATTGCTCATTCATACCATATTGCACATATCCACTCACTCAGCTTCTCGATGACCTTTCCTCTTTCGGCATATAGTATAGTGTTTCACCTACGGGCTTACCAATTATTCTAAAAGCCCTCAAATGCACATGAAGAAAATTAAGCACACCAAATTGCTTCTAAAAATGCATCTTGTGCCCATAGAAAAAAAATATTGAAAATGATTACGATAACTAAACTCTATTTATTGCGAGCTTGCAAATTCGTCATTTTATCTCTCAGACACTCATTCACTGATTTAAAAAAGATATGAGCCAAGTGCACCATACTGCTTTTGTCTGCTAATGAAACCTTTGTCTACTTTTCTCGAAGTGATTTGTACTTGCACTATTTAACTTTTACTTTTACTTTACCAGAAAACTCTACAGCACTAAAACTTTTAGATTATTGGTTTGTTTTCTTCCAGCAAAATTCCAAAACACTATTCATATCTCATCGCTATTGCGAGGTTTTAGTGTAAGTACGAGCTTTAGTATAATGAGTACTTACTAGTACGTTACAGGGCATTTGAAAATTCGTAACGATGGTGCGACCACGCGCGACACGCACGCCACTTCCGGAGATCGCATTTTCTTGGTTTTCATTTTTAGTCAAATGTCTTACGTATATAATATTCAGACATTGGAAGTGACTGAGCTGAACGCTGAATTGGCGACTTCTTGTAAATATGAGCGTTTTATGCTCTTATGGGCGCAAAGTCCGCACTAAAATCCGCCGTCACGATTTTATAAACGAATAACCTATATATGACGGAGCTCAGATATGATAGAAATTTGTTATCGTCCACATTATTCATTCCGAAAGGCTATTATTATAATATTATAATATGTTATTACCAAATAATTTGTGCGCACCAGTACTTTAATGAAAAGTGCTAGTCCAGATTCTCACAATTTCGTGGAAATCGAGATTTTGATTAATCACAATGTCATTCGAATTCTAAACTTTGGAGAACAGCTTGTAACTTTCGAGGCTCCTTTTTACAGATTGACAGCAGCGCTGGTTAACTTTCAAGAAAGCGACAAATGTCAAGCGCCTTGTTTTAGAACATATGAAGAAATGGCTTGTCTGTTGTAAATATATCTTTTTGTGTAGACAAGCGACATATATCTCACTTTTTGCACATATCAATCTGTGAATTCTGAAGTCTTCGGACATAGTTGTACTGAAGAACAATTCGATTATGATACCGCAAAATACATTGTGTCTGCCAAATTTGGTTCAGATTCCATAACTCCTTTCAGTTTTTTTGATCGAACATAAGAGAATTTTTAGGCAAGAACTGCTGAAAATCAATAAATCAATGAAGGCAATTCGTATGTGCCGAACAAAAAGGCTTATAACACACGCCCCATCCTATATATTATGTCTGCCAAATTTGATTCAGATTCCATGACACTCCTTCTATCCTTCCTTTGCGCATACAAAAAGTGGCTAAGCCAAATATCATGTAGTATTGATTTAGAAGGTATCGACAGCCTCGACCAGATTATTGATTTTTTGCCTTATATATTGATCATCACTCTCACAAGGGAGGTCGATTAGTCGAATTGGCTTTTCCAAATGAGTCATATAGCAATTTAAAGAGCATTAAACGCTGATTCCGAATCCGATTTCATTATCTTCAAACCCCTTTGCATGCCGAGTTATAAGTTTTTTAGGTGAAAAATGAACGCAGAATCAATAAAATTAATTGTTATGGACTTTTCAGCGCTTAAAAAGAGCAGCTAGTACGTTTTAGACAGAAGGTATCTTCGAATGCTCAAATAATCAACTGGACCATTTGAGCCTTTTTGACGAATTTTGTTCTAATTACGCTTTCACTTTTTCAACCCAAAAAATAACGAAGACAGACATGAAATTTAGCGTTCAATGCTCTTTGAAGTCATATCAATTTCATGTGCAAAGGGAGCCACTTCAATCAAACGGACCTTCCTTGTGAGTTACATTGTCAAATGGTCCATATATTTTGCACCAAAATTATGAAACTTTGTTTTTGAGTGTGTGACAATGCGTTCATTATGTTTGGTATTTTTAGACATACAACTATATATTTTGCTGTATAAGTTGATAATGTTGTTGGAAACGATTGAACATCACGAGTCATAATGCTTTAGCACCAATAAATAATGCACTTCGTATCTTAATCTGCAAAAATCGAATCGAAACCTCTTCGCAACTTTTGTCATATGATAAGCCAACATCGATTTTTGCCAAACATAGTAGTAGAAAGTTACTCATTCTAATCTACAGTAAATCTAACGAATTTGGTTTCTCAGAGTTAATTAAGAACTGTTAACACAAACATGATGATCCTCCACTTCTTATTCAATTTTACGACCTGCTTGCTGGATCTCATATTGCTTTTTGATACAGTGTCCCTTATTTTTCTATATCGACATGTCCCTGTTGGAGTAATTGTAAATATTGACAATTCAATTATACCTGCATATCCTTGGCCTTATTTCTAGTCCTCGCTACCTCTTCAGTTACTTTTCCAATAACGCAGCATGCAATTAGCTCATTGCTTCTCTTGTGTTAGCCCAAAGTTGTGCCCTATTTGTTATTTCCTTTGTATCATGAGGTGTTATAATCATGTCCACTTTATTGAGAGATGTACTTCATGCTGAAAACAATTGAAAAAAAATACTCACTGATTTACTGCCTTTTTTGCGTCCGTCATAAACTACTTACTCATAAAATGTGTTGATATGATTTTCGATTACGAACTTCCTGTTAGGGCAGATAGACAAAATCATTAAGTGAGAGTAGAAATCTAAAAAGTTTGTTTGGATTTACAGAGATTATATCTAAATCCACACTTCACTAATCAAATTTTTATTTGTTCAGTCCACATGATGCTAGAGAAATTATCATTCGGGAAAAATTATTCAATGAATAACTTCAAATATTACATATTAAATTGAGATGTTTCTATGTCTATCATGAAACCGCATAGATTTTAGTTGTCAGAGTTTTGTGCAATGTTGAGATTGTCAGAGGATTTTTTCCTATCGCATCCGATTTCAATTTTTAAAATTTTCCTTTTCGCATTCAGGTCATGGGAAACAACTATACATCTCTGTCCACGCACGATCCGAATGACTTGCTCGTGGGAAGGGACAAGTAAGTAATGAATTTTTGTATTTTGATCTTTTACACTCTTATTTTTCTTCTCATCAATTAGGCTTAGGATTGTAATTTGTTCATAACTCTTGATTGAAGACAGTAATGGAAAATAAATACTCCTTTACGATATTTTTACGAGGGTATAAAAATCATAATTGATATCAACTTCCGGATTAGTAGAGGCTGCCAAATTTGAAAATTTTGTAGAACACAGTTTCAAAATTGAGCATGTTCTAGTGTGAAGCAAGGTGCCTTTATCTACAGCATGACCAGCAAAAGTTCCACTAGGTGTGGCAAAATTTCTTGATTCTCATTCATACCTCCAGGATAGTAGTCACAGCATAGTAGTTGATATAATAGTTACACAATAATTGATTGATTTCAAATACTGGTTTATTACTCATAAAATATGCAGGCAACAAATGAAAAAATCGGCTACATATCCTGGAATAACGCTACCTCTCATTCGACCAGCTATCCATTCCGATTCGATAACAGCCCTTGCAGTTGTTCGGCCAGGAATGGTGATTACGGGAAGCCGAGACAAGGTAGGTAGAAGTTCTTATACCATATTTCACTTTTCGGAGAACTCCTCTAGATTACGACAATTCACAAAACAAAAAACGGATTCACACTCTTCAAATTCGTTGTTTCGTTGTTCTCAATGTCATTTGCAGAAAGTGGCTTTGAATAATGTCGATACGGGAGAGTGCATTACCATGTGGGAGGGCCATGATGGAGAGGTAACAAAGGTAAGCGCAATATTCGAGGAAAACTCAAAATATTTGCGAAGAATTTATCGGAGAATAAATCTCTTGGTTTTTTAACGCTGCGTTAGTAAACAAAAAGATCTTTTATTTGATAAGCTCTCTACATTCGTGTTTGAAAAAACTTCTCACAAATGGTTGTTCATCAAAAACGGAAATCAAATTGCCCAAGGTTTTGCGAGTATGGAATAATGCTAGAACAGTAGTTTATGTGAAGTATTATAGAAGGATTTTGAAAATATTCATTTATATTTTGCAAAAACTTGGCAAAATTCTCATTATTGCTCAACTATGACTCGGAACCGCTCTTCTCTTGATTATGATTTTTAGCTCGCCTACGAAAACACCGTCGGCAACCATTTCGTCCTCAGCGGCTCAAGAGACCAATCCATAAAGTTATGGCAATTCCATTCGAAGGAAGCTCAAAAAACTTTCCAAGGCCACTCACTCGGAGTAACAGGCCTCGCAATTTTGAATGGTAAGAGAGCATAATTTCTAAAATAATTATAATTACACTATTCTTCTAGAAAACCGCTTCGTTTCTGGGTCGCGAGACACAACATTGAAAATTTGGGACGTCGAGTCTACGAAGAGAAATGTGCGGAGTGCTCAGGTCAATAGGAATTTGGTAAGAAAAATTAAATTTCTAAAATTTGCACCCTCGACCGCAAACTTTTCCAGGTCACACATATCACCTTTAATCAACCTTGCAACATAATTGCTCAATCTTCAGAAGATAAAGAAGTAAAGTAAGCTGAAATCGCGCATGCCAGTAGCGATACATTAACATCGAGTTGTAGGTTGTGGGACCCACAAAACTTGGAGATGATCGCACAGCTACCTCGAAAACATCATATACAGATGCATTGCGAGTTCATCGACGATAAGCTGCTTGCCTCAACAAGTAATGGATTCAATGGCTACGGGTGTGAGATATCGGTGAGAAAATCTGTAAATTAATGTTTTATTCTTTGTAGTGAAGGGATTTCTAGGACAAATTTTTACAGACCTAACTAAAAATTTTCAAAGATAATTCTTGTTGCTTGATATAGAAGAAGTCAATGATCTTTCCATTCAATTTTCTTCTTTTCCAGATTTGGGACTTACGAACGCGAAAGTTATTGAAAGAACTCAAGGGCCATGAAGGTTCTGTACCCTGCGTCGCAAACCTCACGCAGACAGTCACTTTAAAGAAGCTAATGATGAGCGTCTCAATGGATAAGTCAATACGAATATGGAATATAGAGGATGGAGGTGAGACATTGCTTGAATACTACTCAGTCAAGGTAGTGAGGAAGAATTTCTAGTACGGTAGGTTGTCACAAAGTGATAGTCAATCATTTTAGTAATTATTCAGAGTTAAAATTCATTTTTCATTGACGTAAGCAAGGATTTCAATCTGTACATATTTTGTACATATCTTTGTTTTTATTGACACTATAAGAACCACATGAGTAGCAATGAATCAAGAGATTAAAAAGAAAAAAAAGAGTGAGACACAAGAAGCAGGAAGGAAAAGGAAGACAAGGAACTAAATATATAGTGGTTACAAGAGCTTTCTCGTGTTTCCCGGCCGGCATCGGCACCAGCTGAAATCAAGAAGTTTTTGAAACGTCCCTTTTGGCTTCCAAAAATTTGCATGAAGTCTCCTTTGACCTTTTGCATCTTCACTCCTCTTCATCTGATTTGCCCTTCATTCTGGGTGGGATTGCGACCGAGAACAAAACTAAAGAAAAAATTTAAATTTAAGAAAAATTTACGGGTCCCTTCCCTCACCTTACAGCCCATCTCTCTCTCCCACACCTCCGCCTTGCCCTGTCCAACCCCCACTGCGAATGAGACAAACGATTAACAGAAAACAATAACAAAAAAGAGGAAAGCAAAAATAAAGGTAGGGGCACCGAGCGGCCAGCGAAAATGAAAGTTTCGCGCGTCGGTTTGCTTGGAGACGCGCTTTGCGATCGGACCAGAGCGGCAATGGATTTCTTTGTGGGCTATGAAACAGCTTGGAGAAAATCATCTTATTTTTTCTCTGTAAGAGATTTTCTACTGTGAAAATACGATTTATGTTAGAAAGTGTAAAAAATTATGTAAGCAAAGCGCTGGTTCCAGCTCGCACCGGAACCGTTCCAGCTGCAAAAAGTCAAGCACAGCTTTCGTATACCTAAGAATTCATAAATTTTTGGGTATAGTTGGAATTGCTCTAAACTTATGTGCACACAAAATCCGGTGCTATATCAATGCGTTGTGAGTGTAAAGAAGCTTGTTTGGAGCCACATTTGACCGCGCTGTTATTTATTAGCATGGCGCCGGTATGCCACCGGCACGCCGATCATCCCAGCGAACCAGCAGCTTAAAACGGGGCGTAGGGCGTTAGGCGACAAACCCGATTATTTGGACCCTAGAAAACTCCCCGTGCAAAACGTCTCCTCCGCCAAAAACAGGGGGGTGGGGGTCGGGGCCGATACATTACTCGACGCCATCAAAAAAATGGCGCATTGTTTCGACTTACCGGCTTTACGTTAATTGCGTTTTGCACGTTTTGTCGCCTAACGCTTGCCCTCCCTTAAAACGCATATGACACCGGCAGCATGCCGGCGGCAGGCCCGCGGCAACTAACAGCGCATGCGAACCCTCAGAAAGATATTCCTTTTGCTTCTTCGCTCAAAAACGATATCCAGCTTGACGCGGTTCAGCTGCGTTCTTTTTGTTTTTTGAGCCTCTTTTCCAGTAACAAAGTTATGAATTAGTTGCAGATTTGCATGTAGGTAGGTCCAAATTTTACTCGATTTCAGTGCGGACGCGACTTGGCAGTTCCACTTGCCCATAATTCATCTTCAGCGAATGATAATAGCGTAATTCTCAATGTACTTAAGATAGAGCTATTTGGCAATTCGAGAAAGTTGTACACATTATGCATTTGTATCCTTCGATGTTTGATTTGAAACATCTGGCAAATTGCCAGAATCGCGTGACAACTGCAACAGCGTGAAGTATGCCTGGGGCTTGAGTGAACGACAATGCGCTCCCTCTCCACAAAAAATGTGTCGTAATCATCATACAACAATGAGAAATTGAAAAAGAGAGTTTTTTGGCTAGGTACACGCACAGCATCCATATGTTTGCTTGATAGAGACTTAATATTTTTTCTGGGCTGAGGTCCATCGCAGTGTTTCGGTTATTTTTCGGCCTGAGTTGGAGTCATAGCGGCTCAATCATTTAGAGGTCTAAAAATGAGTATAGCAAAGCGTGCGAAGACAAGCACAGGAATTTTTTCCCTCATCTACGATAGTCTTAGTTTTTACTAATACTTCGAGTATCAAAAATTTTATCTGGTAGTAGCCACTAAAACTGAACGTTCCTCAAACTACGCATAACTCTGTAACGATCGTAGGTCGCTGGTCCCCAAGAAAATGGGGACTTTATCTCTGGAAGATAATAAGATATTCAACATAGCACCGATGCGAACGATCTAGTGAGTTAACCGCTAGAGCCCTTCATCGGAAATAATGTTCTATTGTCTTCATTGAGATTAGTTGGCTACCGTTTGAGTTTACTATTATTAGCGTCTGATTGTTTACTATCGGCACACTCAGAGTGTATTACAATAAATACATAAATAAACAGATAGATCTTTCATCCTATATGAGAAAGGTTGAAGACGTAATTTATAATTATTGAAGGTATGAGGACCATCATTTTGATGATTAAAGCACGTAGAGCTGATAAGAACGTTGTTCATAACTATACCAACAAGTTTTTTCAGTCTGTGTCTGGGAAGAAACCGTTGCCAGCGATGCGGACCTCTTACAATGCGTCTCTTTCAACGATGGACAGTAAGTCCTTATTCTCAACTTCCATAGCGATAATGATTTCAACTTACAGCGTTGTCGTGTCCGGAGGAAAAGGTCTACTGGCTCATATTCGTGTCCAAGGAAGAGCGGGAAAACCATATTTCCAAATGCTTTCTGTGCAGAAAATGAATTCGTAGATTTTAGGACATTTCATCTAGGCAATCGGGATTACTTTGTGAATAATTGCTCAGGTCAAGTAGTAAGCTGTTAGGAAAATATTGTGACATTCCCCTATAGCAAACTCTTGCCACATATCGGAAATCTATCCTCTCTCCTGCATGATCTCAAAAATTTCAATAAACTTTCATTACTTTGATTTGACACCTTGACAACCATATATAATCTAAACATCAATTTATTAGCGATCAGTAAACATATAACTAGCAAAAGGTACATGGAAAATATACTGTACAATCTGACACTTGTCAAAACTAAAAAAATTAATTCACACTTAAAACAAGAATCGTGCAAAAAAAACAGAAAATAAGCCTACAACGACAAAAGACACCGTAGGCACAAAAAAATTGCTTTTATTTCAGGGTTACTCTGTCTAATTGGTGGGCACTATGATGATTCATATAAGAGAATAAGAGAATCGTCATTGGCAGTAAAATACAACACAAAAATTATTTGACAATTTTTCTCAATGCCCACCCGATTTCACATAATTAAGCACCCTTTTCGCTTCGCACCCTTTCCTTCAGGATCGTCCATGGTTAGCGCTAAATTTCGCTTCTTTTCGAGAGCTAATAACTGTTGGAAAAGCTCGGTGATATTGTCATTGTTTTTTGCGCTTGTCTCGATGAAGCCGGTACCCCATTTAGCAGCTAGTTTTGACCCGGTTTCGGTGGCTACTTCTCGTCTCTGAAAAAAATTATTGTTAAAAAAAAACCTGAAAAGCAACGCTGAGATTAACCGTTCTACAAGATTAGTCAGGCAAAAGTTTTAACATTTTAATTTTTTTGGGCGCGGATACTTTCTCTTTAGAGCAGTTGAAAAGACTGAGTTACTGCCTAATACGGCGAACAACTTTTCAGTCAACGTGCTGCGGAACAGCTGGCATTCTTCGGATTTCGCAGCGTTTTGTAACAAGTTCTGCGGAAGTTTTCAACCAGTCTGACGAGAAAATTCTGCGGAGTTGCCGATTTTCAACGCTTTCGCTTATGTAATAGTAGGCAATATCCCGCGGAACCGCTGCAAATTTTGCTTGTCCTGCGAAATTTCAGCCAAATTGTCTGAGAGTAACCTTTTCAGATTACTGGATGATTTTGAAGCCTAGACATGCATCAAGTCAGCAAATGTTTTTGAGCATTTTGAATCTCCTGTAAGAAGTCATGAAAACTATTATTTTGCGGCATAAACGTTGGTTTTGTGGTAGCTAATATAACAAATCCAATGTGAGAGATATAACTCAGATGAAAGTCATGCAGTGTCCGCCTAAGTCCTCAGACAACTGGCCGGAACTTTCGCAGAACGTCTGGAAAAGTTCGCATGGTCACCTGCGGAAGTTCCATAAACGTGCTGTGGAAGTTCCCAAATGAGGTGCTGCGAAATTTCCAGAGGCTGCGAAACACATAGCAGTAAAAGCAAACACCTAAGCTAGATTCGAACCTTGCTCTATTGATTGTGACCTATCTGCACTACAGATTACATGGTCGACAATACACTAGTTGTTGGTGAGACAACATCGTAAGAGGCAGATTTAAAATCTGCGGAAGTACTGGGAGGACAAAGTGCTGCGGGGTCGCTGACATCTTCCAAAATTTAGCAACATGTTGTGAAAAGCCCTGCGAGCCTCTAGTTTTAAACTAATTTGACGTGAAAATCGTGCGGAAGTTCCCACTTCAACGTTTCACTTTTGTAATAATGAGCAAAATCTTGCTGAACCGCTGCAAAATTTGCTTGTACTGTGAAGGTTTCGGTGATTTGTCTTAGTCGGTAAGTGTTATTAACGATTAACAATTGATGAGATATCTGCCTACAAGATTGCATTTATCTCCAAACTTACCGAAGCATCATCACTTTTGTTTCCGACCAACATAATCGGGGTCTCCGCCAAACTACTGCCTTTCACTTCCATCAGAGTCTTGACGATTGGCGCCAACTCTTCCAACGACTGCTTACTGAAAAATATTTCTAATAAATTTGCTGTACAACTGGTAAGCAAGGATGTTCTGCTCCGAGGCTCTATAGCAATAGTTTATTTATTTCAAAAACAGTAGGTCGAGTCCACTTTGGCTCCCGAAATTTCTAAACTCAACCTTTGGAAGTATACGATATAAAAGCTAGCTTTTTTGCAGCATCAAGAGCCGAAATATTTTGAAAAGGAAATTAACAAAACAGATATGGTTGTTGAATTTGCACAATTTCTTTCAGCTCAACTTGAATTCTGTTCATAGCATTAGAAGCGACTTTTAGCAAAGTTCTTGAGAAAGAATGCCAGGACTTGAAGAACTATTCCAAAAAAATTTTCCAAGTGCTGTACCTCTACTGTCTATTGTAGGAAGTTAAATCATAGGTTTGGCACCATAAGACCTAGAAAAATTGGTTTCAAAACGCTTGAGTAAGCGTTGCATGACATTTTATAGATTATAATAAATTTTGCTTATTCAGACTACAAAATTCACTATGAAAGCTTCATAAATCAAAAGAAAAAATTTACAAACTGCAAATTTTCGTAGAGACGTTCAATCAGCAGAAATTATCTTACGTTCTATCAATGGAGGTCCGAGAATTTTTTCGAGTAAGGGGAAGAAAGGTTGGAGGTGTGGGGGGGGGACATTCTTTCGTCCAAAATGTGGTGTTCTTTGAAGATGTTTTTGGGATGCCTTCCATAAATTTCGTGGAGCCATAACTTCGAATACCCCAACAATGTTTTTGCAGGAACGAGTTGAGTCAAGCTCGCGAGAAATTTGATGAATTATTTTGTTCTATATAAGTGAAAAAAAGACACTGGCAATTCTATATTTCATGGAATCGCAACCCTTTCTCAATGAGGAACAGGGGGAAGCCCCGTCCATTCCTTTCTCAGCTGGGTTTTCACCTAATAATACACACGTTCCTAACAAGCACAAAATTATTTAGAAATAGCCGTTTCGTTTGGGGTATATGTATCTAGAGCGATTCTTTCGTCGATCTCTACGTTTTGAGTTCATCAGTACAACGCTACTCGTTCCTTTTTTTGTTAATAAAATCAGGCTTTGTGTTAAAAAAAACATTGACGACAACGTGACCCACATGGTAGGTCATGCAATGCCTGCCACTTGAGACAATGTGACCCACATGGGGTCATGGCATAAATTTTGTTGGAAAGACTACCATTTAGGAATACATTCGTTTCAGAATTTCTCTTACTCTCTAACCCTAAAAATTGCTCTTGTGTTTCTCGCCGCTTCATAGAATTGCTGTAGGTATACTGTAGCCGACGACTGCATTACTCTAGCCAAAAAACTTTTCGGATCAGTGGAAGGCATTGTTAGAGGCGGAGGCTAAAAACGAACGTTGTCATGTCATCAATGTGTTAATGTTCGACTATGGGGAAAGAAATTGTTACGAATTTCTGACTTATAAGGATTTTGTTCATTAGAAGCTGCCTCTGATTTTGATAGAATGCACATAATCTATTCTACAGTTTGCAAAGTTCTTGATCCTGATCCTTTTTATTAGAAAAGACAGAGAGTAGCTTTTGGTGGTAATAGTTTTGCCTCAGAGTACCTGCGTCTGTATCCAAACATACCAGAGATCTCTGCGACATTGACCAAATTTTCGTGAATGTTCGGTATTGCGCTAACCTGTTTATTAAGTCTACCTTTTTACTTTAAGATTGATGAACTACAGTTGACTAATTATAAGTGCATCTTGACATTCGATTTAGGAGCAGATTATGATAGGAAAACTACTCCTTTATATTTAGTTCAATTTACTGCTTGAAACATTTATGATACTCTGTACATAGAAAATTGCAAGGATGTAATATTAGGTGGCTGCGAAATTGTAACCAAAGATGAGTTCTCATTGAAAAAGGTGATTTCCCAAATTGAACGATTGTGCTTTAATTTCAAAAAGGTAAGCAAATAAGCAAACAAGCAAATGAATGACTGCAGAAATAGAAAAATTTCTTTTGAATCCGACTTCATTGCTGATATTAGCATTCTTGGAGAAGGTGATTTCTTTGAATTAGAAATGTGCCCCAGTTGTCAGTGAGGGTCTTCCCAAGTAGCATGAAAAACTACACGAAATTGTACGACAATAAATTACAAGAAAATGTTAATTGAGTTCTTTCCTGTTTTTTCTCAAAAAAAAACCCAGCTTAAAAATGGATTCCAAGTAGATTCGATAGAGATGTGAGATTTTTCTATGGCTTCCAAGCTTGCATTTCCCGCATAGGAATCTTGACTGTAACACCAATTTTTCCCAGAGCCGAAATTTAAGTAGCAGTTTTTTCCTACAAGTGCAAAAGCCGAACTCTCCCTAGCTCAAACATGTTGCTGCTCCGCTTCGCTAAGCATGAACTTCGCTGCATTGTTGATATTGCAGCTGTCATAAGAAGTGAATTATTTATGTTAGCGCAGCTCTTCGGTCCACACATAAAACATTCTGAAGCAACCAGCAATTCTTCGATGTCACATGGCTACTCATCTTCAATGGCTGTGTAAGAAAAAATGGCAAAAAACTACGAATAGAAGCAAACGCAGAAATGTTTTGGATCAGCAAAAAGAGCAGTTAGAAGCAAAAAATGCTTGCTTTTTGAAAAATTCAGCATAGAATAGGTTCCTTGATAAATCTAATTGACTAACTGATACATTTTTAGTTTGGAGCAATCCATTTGATATCTTTTGAACTTCCTTTCCACTCGCAGCTGCGTCCAGTGTTGCCCGTGCCAGCGCCGTTCCAGCGCCGTTACTGTGCCGTGTCAGTGTCGTGTAGGAACGCCGATCAAGCATGACAAGGCGTGCCACGTGGGTGCGCGGCGTGCCGGGAACCATATGCAAGCATCCGGTATTCATCGATCGGTGTTCCGACGCGCGCTGGAACGGGGCTGGAACAGCACTAGCACGGCGCAGGCACATAAACAACTCTAGACTACCGTAGAATCTTCCAAACCAAAATTAGCTGCTCATATTTGGAATATGAGGGAAATTTTTTTGACCAACCTCGTAACGGAGTAGATAAGAATGAATGCATGTCCTTTCGAAATGGATAATCGTTGCATGGCCGGAAACTGATGACTTCCAGTTGTATCAGTGATTTGCAATGTGCAGACATTTTTCTGATTGCAACTGATCACCTGAAAACAACTTTAAAAATTTGGAAAATTCGTTAGGAATATATTCTGAGGGGTTTTCCAATTGCTGAAAGTTCTTCGAGATTCGAGAAAGAAATTTTGGAACTTGCTGGCGGTGGAATAAGCTTCATTAGAATAATTACTCTGCTTAGCTTTCCTTCACGAAGAAAAAATTGAGACCTTTTTTTGGGGTGGCATCCTCCTTTGAATTTTTAGATTCATATCGAATTGCGAAGTTGAAACTATCTCCAAGAAAATTTAGGGAGTTCTAGAAAAGCTCTTCTGTTTGAAAATTCTTGTCGTGGGCAATAAATCTAGTAAAAGAAGAAATAGCAAATGACATGTCATGTATAAAATTGTTGCAGTCGTGGATGCTGTTTTGCCCCTGCTTCAAAAAACTCTTCGAAACACATTCATCACCCAAAGATGTATATTTTTCACGTTTTCTTATTTACGACGCAGAAAAGTAAGGTCTGCGTGATTCATTACCGTATCTATCACGAAAACATTTTTTCCACCGAATGCAGCGCAATCAAAGAGAGTAGTCGCTAACAAGATTGTTTTTTCACTAGCAATAAAATTTCCTCATCTAAGCTCAGACGCTAGCTCTCAACTTCTTTTATTTCGCAGCTGATGAGGCCCTAGTAGGGCCAATTTTGGCCTTGAGAGAGGGAGCTCGTTCAGCTCTCGCTCATTCTGAAGTACGTAAGCTTTTCGTCAAAACAACGTATTTACAGGAAGATGCAAAACACGTAAGCACTATGTTGTTTTGAAGGGAGCATTTTGCGGAAAGACAAATGTCCAAACATTTTTCACCTCTGGCTTGGGCTTATTTTGCGGAGCTCCCCCCCCCCCCTCCCCTCTTCCACCCCCGAGAACGAGTCGCGAAATTTCTGAAAGTTACATGGGTTATAAAAATGTGCAAGTGATTGCTTATACTAGTAACTAATTGAAATAATTTTTAGAATTGCTTAAAAATTTATTTCAGCCTTATAAAAAAATTTTTTGGGGTGTTGTTAACGCCACCCCCCCCCCCTTTTCTGGAATTTCGGGGGTTATGGACAAGCGAAAATTTTGGGAAGCATACAAAAAATTTCTTTGGAGTATGCACCTTCACCAGAAAGAAATTTTCGTCCCCCCCCCCCCCAACGGAAATCCTGGGTACGCCACTGATAAACAGTCATCAGAAATCTACCATTCTATAGTTCGCGATGCCCTTTTGCAAAACTTATAAACTTAGAGAGGGCGAGAAAAAAGATAGTGAACATCGATTTACATCGCAATTTTTGTTTGATACCAACATTTCCCAATTGCCAAACATTTGAAACTTATCTTTCACAATCTATTTTTGAGAATAATGAGAGATAGTGGATCCTCTACCCGAAGAAAACTTGGAGTCCATGAAGATTTATCGCTGGACAGATTGAAACGCCTTATTACTCTAACCGATGTCTTCGGGAAATCAAAAAGTTTATTATAATGCGCACTTTCAACAGGCACTTCAGAAAGAGTCACTTGAATTTGTGTATTTTTAGTATAGCGCCAATTTTGGAAAAATTAGTATTACTTTGGTTATATTCTCAAACATCAAGAACACTCCTTGATGTAAACTCTTTTTTTATCAGGGCAGAGGGTAGCGATTACCGTAATCTTATACATAAAGCTGAATGTCTGTTTGTCTGTCTGTCTGTCTGTATGTATGTCTGTATGTCTGTATGTACGTATGTTCCGAATAGAAAATTCCATTTCTGAACCGATCGGGACCAAACTTGGCACACATATATTACGGGCCCCGGCGGGTGTCATAGGCTACTTTTCGTCATCGATCGATATCGATTTTATCAATTTTTTGCAAAATTTGAGCTACGGAGCTGGGAGTTGGCACAGGGGGGTAATCGAGCATGCTGATTACGAATAAAATAATGACAGGGCCGGGCGAAGCCGGATAAGCCATCTAGTGTTATACTAAAATGGTGCCGAAGTTCCCGTAGATAAGTAGCCTACTTGAAATATAAAATGGCAGTATTAACCTGTTTTTGTTTGCAAATAAAATTTTTTTAATCTTTTCAAAATCTTAAGCCAACAATGCAAACAAAATTTCCGGTCGCGCGGCCGTCGCTATGTTACTTTTGCTTCAAAATTCCGGGTTATAGGACCGCCAGAAAATTCAGAAAGCATCATGAAATTCCTTCATAGAGCATGGCGACGCTACGCCCCTTCATTTGGAATGAATTATTATCGTCCATACCCCGCAAAATCCGGAAATTATAGAAATTCCATTTTTGATTACATACGAATCACTAAGGCCAAGACCTGTATATATCCAACCTTCACAAAGCATGAAAACAAAATTTACGAAGTCAAAAAAGTATTTTTCAAACGTCGGCCATGCACGTACGATGTTGGACTCAATCTCTTCATAAAGTTTTTAACTGAGAAACAGCTCAAAATTTTTATAAGATTTTGTATATTTATCTCAAATTGGAAGTAGTTTTTAGTCAATCTAATGAATGCAACAATTCTCGAAGTAATGCCCTGCAAGGAAAATGTTGCTGGTTTCCTTTTCTCAACTCACGAAGTTTAGTTGCTTTTTTTGCCCGGAAATCTGAGCTGTCGCACACAGAGGGAAAATCGCGCCGACTCGCCCACGAAATCGGTTATTTATGCATGACTTCTTCGGAGTGCATGCACGTTTTTAGGAGAAGTCGAAAAACCAAGAAGTAGTGCATTCATACTCTCTGTGCGAGAAAAAGCGAAGGTATGAAAAATGAAATGGAAAAACAATTCAGAATTTTTGTTCAAAAAAGCTAGAAAAAGGTGTCTGATGGGTGCAAATGATTCAGCTGTAATGGCGCAAGGAAGAAAAGATACAAATGCGGGGATGTATACGTTAGGAAAGGGGGAGAGAGAGGGAGAGAGAGAGAGAAGGATGACTTTAATCTTGTATGAATAAAAGCACAGAAGATTTTTTGTCTGGCACGTGCCATAAATCCACTTGCTTCACTTGATCCATTTCATCTACGTCGCTATTGGTCAGAGCAGTGAACTGACCAATAGTGAAGTGGATGTCCACTTGATCCACTTGGTCCACTTCGCGATTGGTCGGTTCTGTTGACCAATAGCGAAGGATGAAATGGATCAAACGGATCAAGTGGATCAACTATGGCGTGCGCTTATCAATCTCTCGACTATTGGCCGATTTACACCCGTAACGCTATCGGGTATTTCCGTATAGGACCGCACTCACCCGTGATACGAGCGGCCTTTTATGTCGGAACAAATAGATAAAAGAAGAAAGACTGCCTCAGGCTTTGCATGTCAAAACTAGTCAAGCAGGATGGCTTTTGTATACTGTAGTGCAAAATTACCGTCTCTTCACTTTTCCTCATTTAGGAAATTATCTCCTCTATTCCACATTATCTGCACAAAGTTCTAGCACTCCCTGGAACATTCTGCACTTTATTTTTTACGACCATTCTCCTTCGCCATTTCCCCTTGGGACTACTTTTTCAATCAAGTCCATGACTGCATTATGCTAGCAGATAGTGCACATTCAGCAAAAAATGTCAGAACAAATTCGCTTTAGTTTTAGTACGACGGCTGTAGTAAATTTTTTCTACTTCAAAAATTTTGTTTTTGCTGATATATGACGTAGCCTCTCATTTTCTTCACTTCCCTTTGCAGAAAAAAAACACCGATGATTGAGGGATGCTCAGGCCTAGCAACTGGAAAACGAGATTTTCTACTTGATTTTGTCCGACTCGTTTTACGTCTGTTCTTTCGTTGGAAAGAAAGCTGAGGAAGAAGAATCAGGGCCTCACTATGTAAGCCAAACTGACTGACATGAGATTGAGATATGAGGAGAAGATAAACGCAGAGATGTTGATTGGAAATGAATGCAGAGAATGGCAAGGTGTGTTTGCAGCAAATGCAAGGAAACAAACATGCTCGTCATTTGATCATATGATGACTAGGAAAAAAGGGAAATTTAGAAGTAAGACTAGACTACCATGAACTTATCGGTTAGGATTCTGGATCTTAAAATGAAGGTGAGTGCTGTTTAGATAGGAATCTACGCGAACAAAAGTATGATAGACCAATTATGCAGTTTTTGGAGTTTCTTAAGTAAAATGTGGCTGCTGCAGAACTTGTAGAAAGCTATACATTGATGTATTTCTAATTTATTTGAAAACACAACACCCTTGAATTTGAGTTGGAAGATTTAGCACAGAAGGTGAATCAATTGATTCACATAAAAGTTCTTCTCTGAATAAAATTTCCAGCAGACGCTCCATCGTAGAATGCCTATGAATCTGCTACATTATGTGAGAAGAGTGTAGTATGCAAGAACTTGTTTTTATTTTGTGAACAATCCATCTTGAACTATAGCATAAAAGTGCCTAAGTAAAAGAAAGGAATTTTTGTACTGTAGCAATACAATTTCATTCAGGATGCAGATTCTCGAAAAAAAAAGCGTGTGACTAAACCGAGTTACTCAAACGATTTTAATCAAAAGAGATTAGTACCTCAGGGAGCTTGTTTCCATGTATTAAACCAACGTAAATTGGGAATAGTGTAGCTACACGATTTTGAACGGCTTTTACTATGATAGTGCAGTCCACCGATCACGTTAGGATCTTCTACTGTCTAAGTTAAAATGGAACCTTTACTTTAGAGGATGACCGACATGGTTGTAAAGAATGGGCTGACGAATTACGGTTACAAAAGTTATATCTTTCTCTTTACCTACTGCTAAACGTTTGAGGCTAGGTACTACCGAGGAATAATTGATAATATTAGAAAACAACTGTAAACCGAAATAATTTTATCAAGGAATAAGATTTCTACAGACTTTTGTAAATTATAATCGTTGAAAACAAGTCCGAATTCTGGTACTTGAAATGACAGTCCCTGATTTTTTGAATTCTTCACTAACAGATAATTTGAGAGCAGCCACGTTACAGCTCTGAGTTGATTTTCAAAGTATTTTGTCATCAAATCCTATTTCATGTTTGTTATCGGGTCGAGATAGCACGAAAATTATAAATAAAAGCCTTGTTAGACTAATTGCAACCATCAGCTCACCTGACGATAAGTATCCTCGATCGTGGGTACGTAATTGTCGGAAAAGGTGCCTTTGACGAATCGTTGCACAATTGAAGATTTGCCAACACCGCCGGCGCCGAACACGGCGACACGGTAGTCGGACGAGGTCGCCTCGGCGACGCGGGCCCCCTGTAATCGCGGCGAGATCGCTCAATCTTGATTGGTCACCCTACCGTACTCCTATCGGATTACGGTAACGCATCCTCAAACTCACCGAGCCAGAAGTGTTTGCCGTTTCCTCAATGCTGACTGCCTGATTTGCCTGGAAAAAAACAACGTAGAGACGTTTATATGTAATCACGCCTCGACGACAACGGCGCCTATGCTGACGAGCATAGCTAAACGAATAAACGACATCGCCACGAAACAAATTGAATTGAATCGGATTCGGATGAGAACTGAGCAGATTTTCTTCTCGCCTCACCCCTGCACACATGGATTGAGGTGGAATTTTGAAAAGAATATTCCTGCTCGAGATTCTGACATGGATCCGCTTTCCCAAAGATGGGCTCGGATTACAATTAAGAATTCTCAGAAAAACCAGATTTTAAGACTCCCCAAAAAAAGAAGAGTCTATGGGAGAAAGCGAAGGGAAGCTAATGCTATAGGTGCAGATGATGTCATTTGCAAAAGTTCGGCTTTACGTCAAGAAGTGCAGAGCAGAACTATAGAGAAGAGAATGGATGCAGTCAAGCTCAGTTTCTGCATTGAAATAAAAATATCAAATGCGTCAGAACGGGTACGAAGTTTTACAGATTTCAAATTTTTGTAGGTCAAAACTCAATGATATTCAAGCGTAATGAGATCACCATTAACATTCAATCCCTACCTTAATTTTGGGATCTGCAGATTATGCAAAAATTGATCAATTCTTCGACAACAGTATGGGTCCGAGAAATGCTCTTCAAACTTTTTTGCAACAAGAATTTTTTTGTGAAGGAGCGGGACGTTACCACACTCGCTGAAAGGTTTTCTTTACTCTCTTTCTGAAATTCTTGACCTATAGCCCTAGCATTTTAGAACAAAAAAGAGGATAATGGAGGTAGTCACGCCTTGGAAAGGTGCCCCTCCCCCCACATTTTTGAGTGCAGAAAGCTGAAATTATCATTTACCAAATTAAATGTTGCGTGCAAAGATGCCATACATATACCGCCTACACCAAAACTATTTATTCATGTACTTACTTGAATTTATTTATAGGACCAGCATATGATAGAATTTTTCTCTGCCAGTAGGCCTGAAGACTTGAAGCAGCAAGCCATTTGGAAATGCGCCAAAAACATAATAAATACTAAAATAAGAAACTTTTGTCACGCGTCTTCGCACGTGTTCGCAAAGTTTTTCTCATGCATACAAACCTGTGTTGAATCAGAGGTTTCAATGTGGGGATTCACAAAAGGATATTTTGCTTTCTCACGTGTTCTGAAGTTTCCGAATATTATTTATACATATAAAGAGGAGAACGAGTCATTTCAAAAGCATATAAACGCGTTTATAAGTTTTCTTTCTTTATTTACATTGAAAGCGAAGTGATTTTTTCTTGATTTGTGCAAGAAATCGTTGCAGGAGGCCACGAGAGTCAAGCATATCAGTTTATATAAATAAGGTTTACAAAAATGCAGCAAATTCCAGAAACTGGACATCTCCTATGAAAGGAAAACATTAAAAGCAGTTTCATGGAATCAATAGATAAAAATAGTTGTATATTTATTGCACATATGTACAGCCTAGGTAGAAGAAACATCGTTTGATTTTAAGCCCAGGTATAAGTGGACCAGAGCTGCCAAGAATATGTAAAGATAATAAATGTATTCAAAATATGAAACTGATTAGAGTCTCCTACTGGTTGACGACATTTTCAAGAATAAGAGTATGAAACGATTATGGGGAAGAAGGATGGTGTCAAGTTGGGAAAATGGAGAGTCAGGATTGGATAGAATAAGGGGAAGCACACAAGTTTCTACATACTTCTTGAAATTGAGAAAATTGCCCTCATTTTCTTAGAAAGCCGTAGCTTGGTTAATTGTCAGCGAGAATCTATTAAGAAGACTACTGACTACATTAAAGTACCTGTAAACAGGCAAAAGTACTTACTGGGTATTCCTTGAATTGAACAATATGGATATGTGTCTGCTTTCAACAACAGAGCTACATACATATTTGTCCCTCTTCTCAAAACTAATTTTTGCTTTGACTAATTTGGCACATCGACCAAGGTTGGCAATGTTGAAAAGGAGGGATAACGGTATGCTAGCAACTCAATTTTCTCGTACCCACGTATTTTTTTACACAATTAATTTTGATTGTGTAAGACAGGAACTATGCTTGTACTTTCGCACGAGTTCATAAAAAAGCGACGAGAACTCTACAACTCGAAATCCGCTAGTGAATAACAGTAAAATAATAATGCAATAGAACTTTTTCCTCACTATAATTGATAATATTAGACTCGAATATAAGTCTTGAATCAAATTCGAAAACTCAGAACCTACGTAGCCAATAAATATGATTGAAGTATGTTGTATAAATCGTTGAGAAAAATTTTCTCCTAACTAGGTTGCAGATTATGCCAGAAGGCTATACAGTTTATGAGTCTAGTTTTATGATCTGCTCTTTCTGAATAGAGAATAATTAATTGATAAATATTGTTACAAAGACACAGACACGTCCAAATTCTCTACTTTTTCGTTCAAAATGAACTCTGTAAATTATTATATATGACGAAAAAAGTGCAATAAAAATTGCGTTCTTTCGAGCATTTCCAGCAGATTTTTCGAATAATTGGCGCAAAGCTTTTATCAGTTTAGTGGAAGAAAGTTTGGACTGACCAACATACATTTTTGACAGGGTCGAGGTTTATATAGCAATTTGTCATTATAAGTTCTAATATATAAAAGAATCGTAAAGTGCATTCAAAAATCATCAGATAGCGGAAAACCGAGCGGGTCCCAAAATGAGCGCGGCTGCAACTAAACCCCTTTGAGATTAATGGTTCACTAGTTGACAAGAAAGAGAAAAAAATTCTAAATGAAATCAAACAGTGCGAAATTGTGAACAAAAACGCTGTAAAGCTCGTATAGGATTCCGTCGACAACCGTGCTACCCTGTGCAATTGGCCCACTGCCAAAAATACCCCCAGACTAGATAGTCTATGCAAAGTACAACAGCATTAAACGTTGCAAATGAGCCGATGCACTCGATCGCGTCGTATACGAGAGCAAAGCAGAGCAGGACGACGAGGCCCTGAGGCCCCAACAATGGAAGCGGCGCGAGAGATTTCAGAGCCCTCGGGCGAGCAGCAAAGGAAGTCGCAGGAGCGAAATTGGTGGTCGTTTCGCGAGATCGATGTGGCGGTGAGGTCGAAGGCGGCGAACTTTGGCCCATACGTATGTGCGAGGGTTTCTGGCGGAGGGGGGGGGGGGAGGAGAGAGGGAAGAAGAAGGGGGAAGCCTAAGGGCCTCCATCTACAGTGTCTGTCTCGCCCAAGACCCATTTATTATAGACCAGACATAAGTTAATTGCCTGCTCCTGCCCGTCTGGCTCTGAAAAACTGAAAATGGAGTCTTAATGGAAATGTTGAAAGAACTCCATTATTCAAAGGCTTCCTGAGAAAAAACACGCAGGCAATCCGCCCCTCATTTCGCCAGCAGCAGAAAACGGAATAGAAAACGGAGAACTGAAGGCGTTCGTTAACGAGGTGAGGTATGTTTTTAGGCCCCTCTCTCTCTCGGAGCGAGAAAGTGCATAATATGCGCGCTCAAGTCGTTCTTTGGGTTTTGCCTTAGCTAAGATGAAAGAGGTGGAATGCTGAATTAGGGTAGTGAGGGTTTTATTGTTTTGTTTTATGAGTAGCGTGGTGCTTTGAGAGCCAGTGTTATGGAAGGCTATAATTTGGAAGAAATTGGTGTTTTAATCAGGCCCCGTGGTGGCAGTGGAAAGGAAGTAAACTCTGCAAGGGGGAAGGCTGCAAAGAGGTCCAATATTCAGCTGGAGGACGATGCACTTAGCTTGGAAGAGTATGAATAGGTATGGCACATATTATATTGAATATTTTACAGCCCCTGTTAAATTTTTGATCATCACGGCTTTCATCTACATCAGTCAAAACTGTGAATTTCGCGCGCTTTCTTTTTTGCCGAGATGTTTGGAGAAGTGTTTAAAGATTTTCTGAAATTATCTCTAAGGAAGTAAAAAGCTGAAGAAACAGTCCCTTGCTTTCTAAACATAAATTTCTCTGCAAGCACATCCAACAATTTCTATTCCAAGTCCTGAATTAACAATTTCCATCAAAATTATGACTGAAAAAACAAGGCATTCAATATTTTACGAGTTTATTTTTGCTACTGCCAAAACAGTAGCTACGTATAAGCCAAAGTAAACTAATTAGGGGCAAATTGGCCCTTTGCGTGGGCTTCCGACAGATTTCGGCGAATTACGCTGCAAAATAAACGGCGAAAAGAATATTTTTCGCAAAGCACTGAAAATTTCTAGGTGACATTTATGGCCTTTTACAAAGGATCTCAAGTGAGAAATGATGATAAAAATTGTTTAAAAAATTGGGATGAAATTTCGCAAAATACCAAACCGAGAAAAAACATTGAATAAATGTTTTGGAATTTATGCTCAATAGTCAGATTTGAGGTTACAGATCTGGAGTATAGCGATAGTTTAACAAAAATACCCTGATTTCACGCGTATAAGGCGCGGGGGATTTTTTTTTTCCAAAATCGACCAGCCCAGACAATCCAAAGGACTTTACAACCAAAGGACCCTATAACGTGCTGTCTATTGCTTGAGAGAATCGTGCGATGTAAGGATTTCTTTCCGGAATAACAGTGAAGCAGCTGAGCGGCTCGCTTGAAAATTCGAAAAAGTGCGCCTTATCGCGTGAAATTAGGGTAATTTGAAAAATTTTGCCGAGGGATGTTAATGAGCGAAGTTGAAACTTATCCTATAATAAGCTGAAATAAATTGCAATAAAACATATTTATCAGTTGACTTAGACCTCAAATAACTAGGAAAAATAATAGGATAAAAGTTTTCAAAAATTCATTCACTGGCTAAAATCTTGATGTGTGAAAAGCTTGAAGCTGTCGACGAGAGAACCTTCTGAATAGGGCCGGAGGGCCCGGTGAACAACAAGACTAAGACGATGGAAAACATAGTCGAGGGGGAGGAGCTCGAAGTGCCATCATCGGAACGTGTACCCCCCGCCGAAGTGCCCGCGGGGTGTCTCGGCGACCTCGACGGGGGGGGGGGTGCGCGGATTCTTCCTTCGATCCACGTAAATATGTGCCATGCTCTACTAGCGCCGAATCCTATGGTCCAACAAAATTAGCGTCCTGCTCTTCCCCCCCCCCCCCCTCCTCCAACCACTGAATCGATTCTCAAGCGCGCAAGGGGCTCCCTCTAAAGCACACGATTCGCACTACACTT